CGAATTATAATTTATGTTGTAAATTTACGAGAGCACATGTTTTACTCGTAAATTAAGCCTTTTAAGTCGATACGTACCGCATGTATTTTTACGATTACAAATTATAATTTTTCAACTTGCGTTAAGGAATGCGTTTAGGAACAAGCGAACTGGTAATCTTTGGTAATCACTGGTAATCTTTGAGAATCACTGGTAATCTTTGAGAATCACTGGTAATCTTTGAGAATCACTGGTAATCTTTCGGAATCACTGGTAATCTGTGGTAATCAATGGCAATCTTTGGTAATCTCAGGTAATCTTTTGTCAGTGGTAATCTGCGGAAACCCTTGGTAATCATAGGTAATCTTCGGTAATTTTCGGTAATCTTTGGTAATCCTTGGTAATCGTCACTTTTTGGTAATCAGGTGTACACGATTTTTTAGAGTTGGGCACCCCTCGGGAACAAGATTGCATCCGGTGGATGTGCACGAAAACGTTGCCCTTTGAAGAACAAAATACTGTCCCTTTACATATTTCGAGGAAGACAGCGTGTAGAGGAGGCAATAATGACATAACAAATAGTCATGCCACACATTACAAAATGTAAAACACAGTGTGTTGCCGACATAAGCAAATGTAGAGCAACACTGTATCATACAGCAGCGCGTGTGGACGTACCTAAGAGTGCCTGGAAGAGTCTGGACTTGAAGATCCGGATGACCCTCTCGATGGCGAGGCGGAGGTTCCGGTCCTGAGGTTCCTTGAGCTGAGCGTAGTAGTCCTCCAGGAGTTCCAGGGCCCGGTGCGCTTCTGTGGGACAAACAAAATTGGACGGTTAGCATAACTTTGTGAAAGTGTCGTCACTTTTCCAGTTTAGTCCAACACAGTCCAACATCACAAAATTATCCTCCACACTTCTAAACAATAAAGTTTTCATCTGGCGTGCATATGCATGTGCTCAACACAATGTTTCACACACTAAAGTGTTCAATATTGATTTTGAACCCTTACACGTGTTCACTTTAAATTAAATCTTAAAAGAAACTTTAAATTTAAACTGTCCGAAGTTTCATGGCCAACCCTGGTGTTGATAACTTCTAAGTGATCATTTTTACTGTTAAACACTTTACAGTATTCAAATATCCAGTATATATATTTTATAATTTCATGCATGAATAAACAGAAAAGTATACATTTATAAGAAGAAGTGCACAAAATTTTAACATATTTCTGTATGAATATGCACATAATTATGCTCGCTTGCGTACCTTTACATCACTCCATACGACATGTATAAAAAAGCACATATCCTAGTTAGTGTGTACTTTAGTTTCTGGGGACTTTGGGTAGCTCGGCCTATAGCGTAATCCCCGGAGATGCCAGGCTGATGCCAGGAACTGAGCTCGAGTGCGCCGCGCGAACTTTTTTTTCCCCTGCCGCGCGCCGAGCGACCGCGCACCTGGCGAGAGCATTCAATAGAGCATCCGCTCCGAACTTCACTACTAGACAGAGGGTGCAGCGAACGGCAACAGGAGGCCTTTTGATTATGTGAGAGGAGCTAGCACGGAGAAGAGTAGTTGTTCAGGTTTGATTACAAAAACAAGGGCAAACGAATCGAACGGCGCATCTCGCTGTGCACACCTTTCATCCTCCGAGGATGAATTTAACCTGCTCTTTTGACGAATTTCTGTCTAGGCTAGTAAGCGGCTGAGGCAGCCGCGCACGACAGAAATCCTAAAGTGAGTGAATGTCGCACACCCGTAGCTGTGTGAACGCCATTCGGAGGCACGAAATGTGTGAATTTCAAAGAGAAATTTCAAAGCGAAATTCACATCTTTACACCTCTTCGGTTCACTAATGGGCATTCACACACCTACAAGAAGTATTTAACATTCACACACTTGCGTTTCCGGGGTAATGTAGTCACGTTTCTGTGCACCTTAAGCCTGACTTGCCCCCTCCAGCGAGGCCTCCAGCCGCCCGGCCGGCCGGAGCGCCTTGGGGTAGGCCGTCCCGCTGGGCAGGCGAGCGCGCGCGCGGCCTATCCCTCCGTCCGCAGGGGCGCGGAGCGGCGGGGCGCGACATCGCCCGGGAGGGACAAGGTTCTGATATCGCGACCCGGTTATTGGCCGAGTGGCGAACAACACCGCAAGGAAGTAGGAGCTGTAGGCAACGGCAGGACCCCACAATACTCTAGAACCCCCCTGGAACCTTAGGGTGGCAGGACCCCACAGGGCTCTCGGACCCCCAAGGACCCTTAGGGCGGCAGGACCCCACAGGGCTCTAGGACCCCCCGGACCCATAGGGTGGCAAGACCCCACAGGGTTCTGGGACCTCAAGACCCCTAGCGTGGCAGGACCCCACAGGGCTCCAGGACCTCCCGGACCCATAGGGCGGCAAGACCCCACAGGGTTCTGGGACCCCAGGACCCATAGGGCGGCAGAACCCCACAGGGCTCTAAGGACCCCCAGGACCCTTAGGGCCGTAGAACACGCCCGTTCGTAGGCCGCGTGGTCTTCACTATTAATACGATCGGCCGCACTGACCGAGCGAGCGGCCGCGGGAGGGGAGGTTGGGGGGCAGCAGAACAAGAATGTTAAATATAGGGCTCCTCCCCCTCCCCCCGCCTCCCCCGCACGCGCCGTGCTACCGACACGCCGAGTGCGAGTCTTGGCGTGGATCGGCGTGGCGGTGTTGGTTGTGAAGGTCCCGCCCGCCCCGCCGGTGCTGCTGTGTGTGGCGCCCAGAGGGAGAGAGCCCGGCCGCGGCCGAGGCGGCGGCGCCAGAGGCTGTGGTCACGGCCCGCCGCGGCCCGCCCCACCCCGCCACGCCCCGGCGGCACGGTGACAGGAGTCCTGTCAGGGACGAGGGCGGCTGACCAAAACCCATCACAACCGTTTGCCATTTAAACGGTCCCGCGCGAAAGGGTCTTCCGCGCGTCATTGCCCCACACTTAAGCCTGGACCGCAGTCACTTTAGAAAATAAAGTCGCACATTTTTGTAGGTGTGTGTGAATCGCCTATTCATCACTAAAGGGAGTAAAGGTGTTAATAATTGTCCTTTTTAAATTCACACACTTTTGCTTCCATGATACGAATGGCGTGCTACAAGTTGGGGGCCTTTGGCCCCTTTGGGGTTTTTTGTTGCGTTTTTAGGCTTGTTGTGTTGTGTAAATATGCGTTACCGGAGAGGCGTTGTTTTTTTTCTGATTGGTTGGTTTTGTCTAGGCGGTTAACACTATGAAAAATAGCCGTGGATTTACGGGAGAATATTCGACAATGTCTGATGTGTGTCGTGAAATTAAAAATTGCACTTTCGAATTTACAAGCACTTTGTATCGACTTTGGAATTGATACACAAGCAAAGAATAGGCTGTCGCAAATTTACACTAACATACACACTGATGTGCTATGTACTTTATTTTGTATGTAAGTTATGCACTTTTGACAATGTACGTAATTACGTACGAAATTGTACACAATTACGTAAGATTAATTGTACACAAGCATTACGTAAAAAAATGTACATAGTTACGTACAAATGATAAAGTAGTCCACCGTGATCAGTTTTACAATTGAGAAATGGCACTGCTCTGCAAAAACACAATGTCCATAAGTTATGTACAAATTCCGAAGTGCATGGAAGCTGCAGCCGCCGTTGCTTCATATAATTTGTAAAAAATTTCAAATTGTACGTAAGCTACAGACTTTTTTGTACGTAAGCTACAGACTATTTTGTACGTAAGTTACAGACTTTTTTGTACGTAAGCTACAGACTTTTTTGTACGTAGTTATGTATGTTGACAGACGTACGTAAGCTACGTACAAAATCTTACGTAGTTACGTACAAAAAAGTACATAGCCCCTCAGTGTGTATTTTGCAAATAAAAATTACAACAAATGTTGTCAATTTACCAGGAAATTTTTTTACGATGTTATTTGTCTCGGGTGTTATGCAACCGTAAGTCTCTCGAAAAGCGCGCGCGATTTGAACTTTGTTAATGACGAGCGGCAATTATAGTCTGCGCGGGGACACCCGGTACAGGAAGGTCGTGTTTGGCACCGCGAGCACTCTCTAATGAGTATCTATCTGACAGGCTATCGATGGGTGGATGTTGTTCGCTCTCGGTAAATTAGCTATGTAGAAAGCATCGTTATAAATACAGCTCTTTTGAGTTATTTTGCCCCCCCCCCCCCAAACGAGCAAAATCACCAGGTGCAATAAAATTTAACATAATTTATTTTGCCAGCTCTAGAGATGTGAAAGCTGGGGGAAAAACAGGGAAAATAACAAGAAATAACTTTTCCGGAAAATGATAAAATCTCTAGCCAGCCCTCTGCCGCAGGTGCTATACTTGACTTGTCTTTCCCTTCGAGATCCTCCGAGAATCCTACTCATTTAGCCGACATAGTTTCCTTTACCTCGCACATTCTCGGCAATAATAACCAAACTTGAATGCCACGACCTTACACTGCTGTGAAAATCAAATTGCTCCATTTCCAATTTACAACTGATGTGAATTTACGCCTGACCGTTTTACTGGTATAGGAGAGTTCCAAGTCAATTATATAACATCTTAAGTTGCAACATTTATCATGGAACATATCTTAATTCCTGTTGAAACTAGAAATATTTTCACAATGTGAGCAAGGTCAGCAAGGGCTCTCATCGCCTGCTACTACTGGGTGGAGGAATGTCTCATGTAAGGCGAAGCGAAACCAAGACAACACACAATTTAGCTATACTAGGAACGACTCGGAGAGTCTGGCGGCCTCGCCTGTATTGGATAGGGTGGAGTGGAACTCCACTGAAGCAATCTACGCTACCCGTCACCTATCATCTGTCACCCATCATCCGTCAGCCATATCATCCATCACCCATCACCTGCGATTGCGTGTGTTTACGCGTCCAACTCGGGTTGTGATTAAGACTTGGAATGTGGTGCGAACAATAAACATGACTGTACACCTTATGATTGTATTTCGCGATGTAAAAAAACGCGAAATCGCAAGTGATGGGTGACGGATGGCTGGAGATGGGTGACGTATAGATCGCTTCATTGGAGTTCGCCCATAGTGATCACGCTCGAATTTCTGCGCGCAACAACCGGTGGCAGTTTAACCAAACTCACCAGTCACGTTTCAATAGAATAAAGGGCAGAATAAATATGTTGGTCTGTCTATAGATTCTTTTTTTCATGTGTTGCCTACATTTGAACGGGACCACCCGAACTCCGACAAAGCCACATCCACTCCGACTTCTGATGACCTAAACTAAATGTAAGTAAGATAAAAAGGATTGATTTCGTTGATGACCAAGTTATGTCAGTAGCCCATAGAGGTTTTTATGTATAGCACAAATACTGACGAAGGGGTAAAAAAAAACAGTCACAGACGACGAGAGTCTGACGCATATCACAATGTTATTCAAAGAAACACCAAAACTATGACTTTAAGTACACTTTTTCTTAGTGAAGTATACACGGTTTCAGCAAAGGAGTTTTTTTTTGTGTTTTTTTAGCTCACCTATGTTTGTTTGAACATCATTAAAGTTGATCGGTTTTCGTTCCTGACCGTTGGCTGCCCCCCCCCCCCTTCCCCCCACGGATACACACAATCAGCGCGGGTGCGACGTTCTCTTTCAGCTTCAGGTTCAGCGCGTCTCGCCAGTTTGCCGCTCTTGAGGCGGTATCGGCCGCGGCGTCAGCCCCGCGCCAGAGAGTGTCCCCTCCAGCTTGACCGGTCGTGTCCGGAGCTGAAACCGCCACCATCTTCTCAACACCCAGCGCTATTTTTTTTTCTTTAGTTGTTCTCGGCCCCGTGGCGACCCCCTCTTCTTTCTTTTCAGCCAGTCCGCAAGACTGTCTCTATATTTCCTTCTGGTTTTCCGAACCCTTTTTTAATATTTCTAAAAGGCCGCGTGCTGGCTCTTGAATAGTCTAATTGTTCGGTTTGACAAAAGGGCATCGTGGGCGGCGAGAGACGGGGCCTCTCCAGCCAGGAGGAAGCCCTACCGGTGAACGCCAGCCACGGGGTATATAGTCCCAAATGCACCTCAACGCGCCCCAGCCCCAGCAACGCCCTCGAAAAACAAAAACGAAAAATCTACAAGAAAAAAGTACAATCTGCTAGAGAGCCCGAGAGCAACCAAAACTTCCCTTTCGTCCACCTCCCATCTTCTGGACTTCCTCACAGCGCGGGCGCTGGCCGGCCCCTCCTGCAGACACCTGGTGCAGGGCCCTGCAGGTCCTCCAGGGCCTTCAGGGCCTCTCTTTCACCTCTGCACCCCATTGTCGCCACCTCTCTTATCTACGAGGCCGAGCCTCCGCTTCCGCCAACTCGCGGGGGAGGGCGGCAGACGCCCGTCTCCGTCGGGCACCAGCTTGTCCTACCCGGTCCGAACGCAGTCGGACGCAGTAGGAGACAGAGCTCTCTCTCTCTCTCTCTCTCTCTCTCTCTCTCTCTCTCTCTCTCTCCAAGACGGAGGCGGTCGGCTCATTCAAAAGTGCAACAAGAGGATATTATGAGGGTTGGCTGGCGGGTGCAGCACGCCAACACGAAAAAAACACGATTCAGCCGTGTTTAGTTACACTGATAAATTAATCAACTACTCAACACTTGTAAGTGTTGAACTGCAAGTTGAATACTTGCAAGTGTGCAACTCAGTAGGTGTGCACTTGCAAGTGTGCAACTCCAATTTTCCTGTACCCGATATCCGGTACCCGGTACGCCAAATGTTTACAGTGAATGATGGGAAATGTCCGACAAACTAAACACCACGTATAATAGGATCGAGCGAATTCATGGAGCAATGGAAAGTACCTTGAATACAACCCGACACGGATATAATTTTCGGTAACAACAAATACGGGAACGGGGGGAAAACTATACTGATTTAGGCGGAGTCAGGCTTGTTCAGGCGGGTGGCAATACGGACACCGCGGCCCACTGGGTCGAGCCGCGGACTTTGCCAGCTTTGCTGCTTCCACGACTCGCTCGTCAGACTTACCTGGACGGCTGCGACTACGATAGTCGCAGGATCTACCCTCGGACCTACCACCCTACCCCTTAAGTGCACAACGTCGTCATCGGGGACGTCCAGCGACGGCCTCCCTCGCGAAAGGATCTTCCGGCCAGCACCGCGCCGTCTCGCCCGCCGTGGACGGGGACGACGACGCCGGGGGGACACCGCCGACGACGAGGGGAGCACTTCAGTTCCAGGCGGAGAAGCACACTCCCGCAACTATGGGTCTCGGCACGCGCAGCAAAGCAAAAGTACCGCGGGTCGCGTCCGCCCAAGAGAGCGTCCCTAGTCTTTGGCCTGAACTATAAGGATACAACTAGCTAGAGATGTGCGAAACGTTTACAAAAAAAAAAATCATTTGTCAAAAATCGAATCGATTTTTTTTTCTTTTTCCAACTTCCATAATTGTCGTACACCACCCCCTAGTTAAAAATCTGATAATACCCAAGGAGGAGTGAAAAGTCAGCATGACATCGAAATTACGTCAAAATGACCTGTAAGGGACCATTTTGACGTCTTCGTGATGTCAAAATGGTCCCCTACGTTGACTTTAGAAGTCATTTTGACATCATTTTGATGTCATGCTGACTTTGCCCTCCTCCTTGGGATCATACAAGGAATAATCACGTCGAAGACCCAAAATAATCATAAAGTTTTGCGTCTAGAATCGTACAGATAGTCGTTGCTGTTACATAGAGCATCCAATCATTGGCCAATAATAACCCCCCTGAAAAACGCAAGCTCTCGATTTCTCGCGAGATGTTACAAATCCTCTGATGTTAATAAGGACGAAGGTGTATCCCATGGCAGGGCACCAGCGTCGAATCGTCCCTTTACAACCACCACCTGTCCTCGATCCACAAATCAATCGGGATCGATTCGATTCGAAATCAAATGACTGTTCGCACACCTCTAGCCGCAGCCTTGTCCGAGGGCGACGGGCGCCGGCGCCGCGTTCCACGCCTTGTCGGACTGACCACCGCCGCTGCGCCGGGTAGCTGCTCGCCGCGTGCACGCGCCCGCGGCGCTCGGGGTGCCCGACGTGAGGAACAGGTGTAGCCGGGACAAGTCTCGGACCGCGTCTGACGGACTCTCTCCATCCGTCTCCTCCGGGGCCGGCGAGGGGCTCACCTGCCAGCGATACCCCCCGGGCAGCACCTGGGGGGGAGGAAAGGGGGGGGGGTCAACATCCCGCGCGTAGTCGTACCCCCATCAGCGGCAATACCCCCCCACCCGCGCGCCGCGGGACGCTGGAGTCTACTCCAGGCGGGCTGGACTGGAAGGGGTCGTAGGTTAGGGGAGGGGGCGGTCTGGAAGA